CGACGGCTTTGTTCCTCGCCCCACCCACGTCCACCCCGCAGCTCTGGGAACCCCAGGACAACTGGACAGTGCTTTACCCTGACTCCTTTCCCCCACCGTCCTTCCACTGGGAGTTGCAGCGCGAGAGTACCCCCCTAGCCTGGTCTGGCCCGTCGCTTCCCACCTCCATTGATGCCCCCGCCTCCAAACCTGCCAGGTGCCCATAACCGGTCCCTATCCAGGCTCTCCCCCTTTTCTCTACCCCTTCGTTGCCATCATCACCCATGCACTCTCTGGGCAGCCTTTTCTCATCCTGGCCTTTTCTTAACTACTAGACTTTGCCCTGTTCAGCTGGCAGTACCTCTGCCTGTCTCAGGGAGAACTGTGGCGATGCCTCAGGCTGGCTGGGAGAGTAGGGGTGTTTGGGAGTGCAGACGCGTGAGGGGTAGGGACTTTCCACTCTATGCCAAGCTTTGACATGGATCATAGGAGAGAAAGTAACTCCAGCCCTCCACAGGGAGTTCAGAGTCTAATGGGGAAGACTGAAATAACGATTGCTGGAGAGCCCAGAAGAGAGAGTACTTTGGGGAGCTGCAGGCCAGGGAGAGGCACTAGGGAAGGCTCAGCAAATGCTGGATGGAGCTTGGCCTTAAAGGCTCAGTGGTAGGTTGGAAGAGAACAGGAGAAAGGAGCATTAGAGTCTATGCAAAGACTTGGTTTGGAAATGCAGTGTGTGTGATGTGTGAAAGGAAGGCCAGTGGGCAGGTGGGGCTTGAGCGGAGGATGGAGGGGACTGTTCCTTGTGAGCCTGGTGCCCTTGATAGCCCTTGGGAGGGTGCCTGGCACGCAGTGAGGACCCAGGGAACGTGGGCTGTTACCATGCTTCACCCACTGGACTATCCTGAGGCTTTTGCTGCCCACCCCTGAGGAGAGGCTCTCTCTGCGCCCACCTTAGAGTCGTAGCGTGTGGTGGGTGGGGTTGGGGGAAGAGGGTGAATGTGAATCTCAGGCCCACGCGCTTTCTAGTTCACCTGGCTGCATGTTGTTGTTATTATTTGAGATGGAATCTTGCTCTGTCACCCAGGGTGGAGTGCAATGGCACGATCTCAGCTCACTGCAACCTCTGTGTTAGCCTCCCAAGTAACTGGGATTACAGGTACACGCCACCACGCCCAGCTAATTTTTGTATTTTTAGTAGAGATGAGGTTTCACCATATTGGCCAGGCTGGTTTCCAACTCCTGACCTCAAGTGATCTGCCCACCTCAGCCTCCCAAAGTGCTGGGATTATAGGTGTGAGCCACCGTGCCCAGCCAGGTTACATATTATTAATAATGAAGATTTTGTCCCTGAGTTGGTTTTTCTTCTCCAGCCCTTCCCCGCTTCCATCTTTGAGGCCAGGAGCTCACTGGACCCAAGTCCTCAAGCCAGGCCTGAGGCAAAGTTCATGCCAAGAATGCCTGCAGGGCTGTGGGGAAATGGAGAAAATCTGGATGAGGAACTGTGGAACTTGTTCTCTTCCATATCCCAGCTGATCTCATGACACCCCTCTGAGCTACGAGCTGAGTTTGCCAAGTGTGAAAAGTGCAGAATCCATCCACCCGCCAATCCAGACAGCTGGAGTTCTTTTTTTTGTTTTGTTTTGTTTTTTGTTTTTTGAGACAGAGTCTCACTCTGTCGCCTGGGCTGGAGTGCAATGGCACAATTTGGACTCACTACAACCTCTGCCTCCCGGGTTCAAGTGATTCTCCTGCCTCAGCCTCCCAAGTAGCTGGGGTTACAGGCACCTGCCACCACACCTGGGTAATTTTTGTATTTTTAGTAGAGATGGGGTTTCACCATGTTGGCTAGGCTGGTCTCGAACTCCTGACCTCAGGTGATCCACCCATCTCAGCCTCCCAAAGTGCTGGGATTACAGGCGTGAGCTACCTTTCCTGGCCCAGCTGGGGTTCTTTTTTAATTTTTATTTTTATAGAGGGAGGGTCTTGCTACATTGCCCAGGATTATCTCAAACTTTTGGGCTCAAGTGATCCTCCCTACTCAGCCTCCCAAAGTACTGCCAAACTAGGTTTACAGACTCGAGCCACTGTACCTGGACCAACAGCTGGGGTTCTTTCTAGGTGAAAGATTAGTGGAAAGTTAACTCATTTCCAAGCTGCTTGGATGCAGAACACTGTTGTCATAGCGATGTGTCTCTACAGTAGTTGGATGTATGCTCATGCTTCTGTGAGTCGGGAAGGGGAGGGGAGAATTATAATTACATTCTGCTCAGTTTGCCTTCTAAGCTCGCAAATTGATCTCTACCACTAGGCCACATTCATGTGACTGCTTTGCTTTCCTAAATTCTTCCAGGCCTGCCCCCTTGACTTCTTTCTCTATACTGCAGCCAAGTGTGAACACAGGTGACCGGTTCACACCCTGACAAAACCTGGAATGATCAAGTTCAGATTCAGTGGGATGGTATTTAAGAACTTTTGGGATCAGGTCTGTTCCTGTGTCTTGTCCTATGTCCCACTGCTCCTTGCTCTGGAATTTATGCTCTTAAAACTTAGACTTGAAGGTTTGGAGCCTCACATACTGGGTTTTTTTTTTTTTTTTTTTTGCCTCTTTGACTTTGCATGGGTTCCTATGCTCTGGAATGTACTTTCTGCTCATCCTTGTTGGCTGGGACTCTGGGGATGATCCCCTAGAGAAAGCCTTCCCTGGAGTCTCCAAGTTGGCTTCATGCATCTCATGTGGGCTCCTTGGCACGGTGTGCCTTTCCCTCCTGTGCTTACCATATTGTACCGTCATCCTCTAGGGCTCCAGGAGGGCAGAGACCCATTGTGTTCAGTTCATCTCTATACTCAGTCTCTAGTGCAAGGCCTTGCACAGGTTGGTGACTAATGATAGTTATTCTAATAGGTGAACATTGAGAACTCACATATATGACATTATTTAATCCCCAGGACCTCCCAATGAGGACAGTTTGATTATTATCACCCCATTTTTACAGATCATACAATTGAGGCCAAGAGAATATTAGTAATTTAGCTAGGGTTACATAAGTTGGCAAATGGCTTCAGTAGGTCACTTAACCATTCCATTCTCTCTCCAAGTGAAAATTGCCACCAAGGCCAACCCTTGGGATGGAAAATCACTAAAGCCTGACAGTCTCCGGTCCCAGCTGGAGACATCACTGAAGCGGCTGCAGTGTCCCCGAGTGGACCTCTTCTACCTACATGCACCTGACCACAGCACTCCAGTGGAAGAGACACTGCGCGCCTGCCACCAGCTGCACCAGGAGGTGAGGGGACCCTCCGGGCTCTGAAGGTGGGCTCCTGCCCCTTTCTTTATCCTGATCCTACTCATGACAGCAGAGGCACCAGGGCGGTCCCAGGGTGGAGCAGGGAACAGCCCCATTCCCCAGGGCCCCACCCTGGCCTCCCCTTCCTAGTCTGGGCTGCACTGGGTTCTGACTGCTGCCTCACCCCTGCAGGGCAAGTTCGTGGAGCTTGGCCTCTCCAACTATGCCGCCTGGGAAGTGGCCGAGATCTGTACCCTCTGCAAGAGCAATGGCTGGATCGTGCCCACTGTGTACCAGGTGAGGGCCGGGGCTGTAGAGGCCAAGGTCTCCAGGACTCCTGCTCATCTTGGGCTGTCTTTGCCCCTCCGACTGCCCCCATGCCCTCTGCATAGCAGCTACTCCCCTGCTGAAAGCCTGCAGATGGCTCCCAGGTACCCTCAGGATGCCATTGAAGCTCCTCAGCCGGGCCACTGGGCGTCTGCTTCCTTCCTGCCGGCCTGTGCAACTTGGACCCCTCCTTCCCCACCTCCTTTCGTACTTCAGCCTGGAACACATTTCCCCTGCCCTCCGCCCTGGGAGAAGCACTCAGGCCTTACATAGAGGTCTCCTCCTCTGGAAGCCTTTCTAGACAGCCCCACAGGAGTCTCCAGTCTCCAAACCTCATCTTCATACATTCAGCGAGTACTTTCCAGCTCCTTGTTTGATCGTAGAACCTAACTTTATTGTAATTAACTGCCTTCCTGTCTATTTTTTTAAACTTGAGTAAACATCTCCTGGAGGCAGGGATTTTGTGACACCTACTTGTGGTTGTAACCAGTGTCCAGCATGGAGTTGATACACCAGATATTTGTGGAAAGATATCATTCCACTTCAATTTTCTGTCCTTGGACCCAACACCCTCCCTCCATCCCCTGCTAACAGTAGTCATGTTAGAAGATTGCTGAAGTCCTGGGCTGGTGTTGCTTTAGAGTTTTAAAAGTGGAAGGCAACAGTTCCTTCTCTTGACATGTCCACCCTCTCCCCGGGGTCCCTCTCCCTGCAGGGCATGTACAACGCCACCACCCGGCAGGTGGAAACGGAGCTCCTCCCCTGCCTCAGGCACTTTGGACTGAGGTTCTATGCCTACAACCCTCTGGCTGGTACGTGGAGCATTCTTGAGCCTGTCTCAGCCTATTCCCGACCCACAGATGCCCAGCCCAGAACCTGGGAAGCAGGGAGGGTTTGGCAAGGGGCTGGGCTGCGTCCTTGAGCCCTCCTGGGTCCCCGCCCCTCCCCTAGTCCAGAGCCCTGAGGGATGTGGCAGCTTCTGGGGCACTCTGGGCCCGGGGGCTGATCGCTGCCTTCCCGCAGGGGGCCTGCTGACTGGCAAGTACAAGTATGAGGACAAGGACGGGAAACAGCCCGTGGGCCGCTTCTTTGGGAATAGCTGGGCTGAGACCTACAGGAATCGGTGAGCTGGGGTTGGGCTTGGTGAGGATGGCTGGGGTGGGGTCAGCTCTGTGTGGAATGAAGTCCTGGACTGCTCCTGAGGTAAGCCCTTCCCTTGCTGTTTGCACCTGCTCCCCTGCATTCCTTCAGGAATTCCCAAACCCTCTGTGCGTGTTCTTGTTGTCTCGGGACCTCCGGGAGGAAATGAGGATCCCTGGATGTTGGGGTCTTGAAGTCGTCGCTCTTTTCTGAGCAATCACCTGCTGGGAAGGAAAGAGCGAGCCCAGGATGGGCCAGGCATGGTGGCTCACACCTGTAATCCCGGCACTTTGCGACACCGAAGTGGGAGGATTGCTTGAGCTCATGAGTTCAAGACCAGCCTGGGCAACATGGTCTCTACAAAAAAAAAAAAAAAGAAAGCAAAAAATTAGCCAGGCGTGGTGGTGCACACCAGGCTGGGGCAGGAGGATGACTTGAGCCTAAGAGGTTGAGGCTGCAGTGAACCATGATCATGCCACTGCACTCCAGTGTAGATGACAGTAAGACCATGTGTCAAAAAAAAAAAAAAAAGGCCCAGGAGGGAGTCCTGCCCCATCTGAGCAGGCTTTGTGTCCCTAGGGGAAAGTCAGAGCAGGTTCCTGAGTCCTCAGGAATAAAGATTCACTGAGGTCTCTGTCGAGGGGCCCGGCATCCTGGGTGGTTCTGACGCCCAGCAAAGTGGGAGACCTATGACTAGAGAGGACACCCTCCCCTCAGGGCTGCAGGGTGTGGGGTGGGGCAGTGGCCCTGGATGACTCTGGTCGTGGCTCCCAGTGTGATCCCCATGGTACTGACCCCTGTGCCACTGTCCCCCCTGCACAGCTTCTGGAAGGAGAACCACTTCCAGGCCATTGCCCTGGTAGAGAAGGCCCTGCAGGCCGCATATGGCGCAAGCGCCTCCAGCATGACCTCGGCCGCCCTCCGGTGGATGTACCACCACTCACAGCTGCAGGTAACCAGCGACCCTGGGCCCTCAGCTCCTTCCCTTCCAGGGGAGCCTTTAGGTGAAGCCCAAAGCATTTGATTTCTCAATTCCTCTGAAATGTCTCTTTCTTCCAGTTCTCATAAACACTCTTCCCACTGGTCTTTGATGGTATCTGAGTGGAGGCTTTGTAGTGAGGGCTTCATTACAGGGATCTTCTTATTCCTTAGGCTTCATGGAGTATGATTATCCCAGTGTTATAGATGAGAAATCCGAGGTTCACCCAGCTATTAAAGTGGCAGACATTTTAACACAGGTTTAACTAAAGCCCACCCATCTCACCCTTTAGGTTTCCCTCTCTTGATGCCTCCTGTCTTCCTGGTTAAAACTTATTTCCTGACCAGTGGCAGCGGCTCACACCTGTAGGCCAGCACTTTGGGAGGCCAAGATGGGAGGATTGCTTGAGCTCAGGCATTTGAGTCTAGCCTGGGCAAGAAAGTGGGACCCTATCTCTACAAGAAATCAAAAACATTAGCCAAGTGTGATGGCTTGCTCCTGTATTCCCAGCTACTCTGGAGGCTGGGATGGGAAGATGGCTTGAGGCTGGGAGGTCAAGACTGCAGTGAGCTGAGATCACACCACTGCACTTTAGCCCGGGTGACAAAGCAAGACCCTGTCTGAAAAAACAAGCAAACAACAATGAAAATAACAGCAACAAACTTACCTCCAGTTTCAGCATTCCATGTTGCATAGTGTCTGGCATGTATCCGGTAGATGTTCAGCATGTGGGAGCTGTGTTTTACATAAGTTTTCTCTCATTCCAATGCTGAAAACAGAGAAAAAGATTGAATGTCATGCCCATGTCGACAGCACATATACTAAAATTGGAATGATACAGAGAAGATTAGCATGGCCCCTGCGCAAGGATGACACGCAAATTTGTGAAACGTTCCATATTTTTCCGCTGCCACCACTGCACTGCACCACCTCCCACCCCCTTTTTTGTACAAAACACAAGGAAAAATGTTTTTGTTTAAAAAAAAAAAAGATTGAATGTCAAAATAAGCTTAATAACTCAGCCTGCTTTTTTATTTTTTTGAGACAGGGTCTCACTCTGTCACCCAGGCTGTAGAACAGCGGTGCACTCATAGCTCGCAGCAGCCACAGCCTCCTGGGCTCAAGCGATCCTTCTGCCTCAGCCTCCCTGGTAGCTGGGACGAGGCATGCGCCACCACCACTGGTTCATTTTGTTGTGTTTTGTAGAGACAGAATTTCTCTCTGTTGCCCAGGCTGGTCTTGAACACTGTGGCTCAAGTATTCTTCCCACCTCGACCTCCCAAAGTGCTGGGATTATAGGCATGAGCCACTGTGCCCAGCCAACTTAGCTATTTTTACACAGCTGCTGGGGGGCAGAACTGGACTGTGAATGTAGGTCTGTCTGGAAGCGTCGTGTGGCAGTAGGGGAAAGGATACAGGTTTCAAGTCACATGGGTACAGCTATCCAAGGCACCTTACGTCCTTCTGGACATACGGGATAGAAATATAAACAGAGACCCCAAATCTCAGCAGGGAGGTGGCTGGGAGGGCTGTGAGTGGAGTCGCTGTGTAGCAGAAGAGGGTTGAAGTCTGTCTGTCTCCCTTGCAGGGTGCCCATGGGGACGCGGTCATCCTGGGCATGTCCAGCCTGGAGCAGCTGGAGCAGAACTTGGCAGCAACGGAGGAAGGGCCCCTGGAGCCGGCTGTCGTGGACGCCTTTAATCAAGCCTGGCATTTGGTTGCTCACGAATGTCCCAACTACTTCCGCTAGGTCCATCGTGGCTCAGGCTGCCCAAGGCTCTTCTGTCACCTCTTTTGTTCTCTCACACTGACCAGTCTTGGCCTTAAGCTGCCTCAGCAGAATCTTTCTGGATTGTCTAGATCCATGCATTATTTTTCTAGTTCCTGCCTTGCTCCCTGTTTACTTTACACTGTGAAAGGCGGGGGTGAGTCCCACTTGAGCACTCCCTGTTGAATAAAGCAGGCACTTGACCTGGCTGTCGCCCAGGTCTTGAGTGAACCCCCAAAACTTGTTTTCTCTGCTGCTGACACCTTGTTTCCCATCCTACCTGGGGACTGAGAAAGGGCAGAACCATGGGTTGGAGTCTTCAGAGGACAGGGGTAGTGGGAGGGCCTCAGAAGCACACTGTCCTCCCAGGGTCTCCACGGTCTCCCCTGGTCTGAATATTCACCTGACCTCTCAACACTGAGGTGCCTCTCACTCTTCTACACACGATAGAAAAGAGGGTTGTACACCTGCAGTACCTTTGCTCTAATTCAGAATCGCCTCAATACATTCTTAGGAATGAAACAACTGGGGCAAAGAAACTACCATTAGAGTCACCACCAAGCAGAACGCTTCCCAGGATCTGTGGAACATCTTGAACGCTCTCAGTCTCAGCCTCCTCTTGTCTTAACTAAAGCCTCTTATCTTTTCACCCATAAAGTTCTCAGCCCTGGCTCTGGGTCTCTATTCGGCGTGGGGACATAGGCAGCCACGGTCCTCATTTCCCTTAGAAACCCCTACTCCAAACAGGAGGCACCAAGGCTGAGAAGAAGAATCCTCGGTTCAGTGGTTGCTGAACCTGCTGCATTCCCAGTGCAGCGAAATCCCTCCAGCCATGGGCAGGGCAGCAGGCAGCACTTGGAGCAGCTTCTTGAAGCGATGCAAGAGGCCCAACCTGGAAATTTACTTTTTCATTTATATTTATTATTTGTTCTTGAGACAGGCTCTCGCTCTGTCGCCTACACTGGAGTACAGTGGCATGATCACTGCTCACAGCAATTTTGACCTCTGGGGCTCAAGGGATCCTCCCATCTCAGCCTCCCAAGTTTTTATTTCTTTTTGTGGAGTGGAGGTCTCCCTATGTTGTCACCATCTTTTCTCTTTACCCATAACAAAACAGATGCTCACCCATGTGGAGGAGCGTATCAGTTATCTTTGCACAACAAACCACGTTAATAAGTTGCTTGAAAAGATAAAATCCAAGGCTGGCACAGTGGCTCATGACTATAATCCCAACATGTTGGGAGCCCAAGGCAGGTGGATCACTTGAGCTCAGGAGTTTGAGACCAGCCTGGGCAACATGGTGAAATTCCGTCTCTACCAAAAATACAAAAAATTAATCTGCATGTGGTGGCACATACCTGTGGTCCCAGCTACTCCAGAGGCTAAGGTGGGAGGATCGCCTGGGCTCTGGAAATAGAGGTTGCAGTGAGCCGAGATCATGCCATTACACTCTAGCCTGGGTGACACAATCAGACCCCATCTCAAAAAAAAAAAAAAAAATCCTTCTTATTGATCAAAAGATTTGATATAATTCCTCTTACTCCCAGCTGGCTTTTTCTTAATACTGAAATTGACTAATCCTAAGGCTCATACGGAAATTCATAGCACCCAGGAGAACCAAAACAGTCTTGAAAAACACATAGTTGGAGGACTCACACGTTCTGATTTCAAAACACTGCAAAGCTACAGTAATAAAGACAATGGTTCTGGCATAAGAGTAGAGCAACTGAACAAAACTGAGTCCAGAAATAAATTACTGATTTTAGAGTTGAGTGACAACTCAATAGGGACAGTTCAATAGGGAAAAGAATCATCTTCACCAATATCCAGATGTCCTCCTGCAAAAGAATGAAGTTGGACCCCTTCCCCATACCATAAACAAAAAATTAACTCAAATGAATCACCTTCTAAATGTATAAGGTAAACTATAAAACTCTTAGAAGAAAATATTTGAGTAAGTGTGACTTTGGATTAGGCAGTGGTTTCTTAGATGTTGACACCAAAAGCACACATGACAAGAAAAAGTAAAGTCAACACCATCAAAGTTTAAAGTATTCATGCTCAGAGAACACTATCAAGAAAGTGAAAAGACAACCCACAGAATGGGATGGTATTTTGCAAATCACATATCTGTTAAGGAACTTATGGCTAGAATAGATATAGGACTCTTACAGCGTAATAAAAGAGAAAACCCACCCAGGTGTAGTGGCTCACGCCTGTAATCCCAACACTTTGGGAGGCCAGGCGGACAGATCACTTGAGCCCAGGAGTTCAAGACCAGCTTGGGCAGCATGGCAAGACCCTGTCTCTACAAAAAATACCAAAACAATTAGTCGGGTATGGTGGCGGGCACCTGTGGTCCCAGCCACTCGAGAGGCAGAGGTGGGAGGATCTGTTGGGCCCAGGAGGTGGAGGCTGCAGTGAGCCAAGATCATACCACTGCACTCTAGCCTGGGCAACAGAGCAAGACCTGTCTCAAAAAAAAAAAAAAAAAAAAAAAAGGAAAAGAAAAGAAATCCCAATTAAACAATGGGCAGATGATTGGAATAGACCTTTTTCTAGAGGTTATACAGGTGGTCAGTAACTACATGGAAAGCTGGTTAAAATCAGTACTTATCAGGGAAGAGCAAATCAAAACCCCTTCAAATCCACTAAGCACTAGGATGATCAGAGTCAGTAAAATACAGAAAATAACAAGTGTTGAGGGTTTGGAGAAATGGGAGCCTTAGGACACTGCCATTGGGACGGTAAAACAGTGCAACCATTTTGGAAAACATTCTGGCAGTTTTTTTAAAAAGATTAAGCATCTATATGACCCAGAAATTTCACTCCCTAGGTATACCTAGAAGAAATGAGTTCGGGCACAGTGTCTCACGTCTGTGATCCCAGCACTTTGGGAGGCCGAGACGTGCAGATCACCTGAGGTCAGGAGTTCAAGACCAGCCTGGCCAACATGGTGAAACCCCATCTCTACTAAAAATACAAAAATTTGCCAGGCATGGTGGCACATGCCTGTAATCCCAGCTACTTGGGAGGCTGAGGCAGGAGAAGCGCTTGAACCTGGGAGATGGAGGTTGCAGTGAGCCGAGATCTCGCCACAGCACACCAGCCTGGGCAACAGAGCGAGACTCTGTGTTGAAAAAAAAAGAAAAAGAAATATATGTCCTTATTAAAAATTACATGAATGTTATAGCAGCATTATTCATAATAGCCAGAAAGTGGAAACTGCCCAAATGTCAATCAATAGATGAATGTATAAACAAAATATCTGTATGTACAATGGAACATTTTTCAAAACAAAAAAGGAATTAAGTATGAAACATCTACAATATGGATGAACCTTAAAAACATGTTAAGTGAAAGAAGCCCATCACAAAAGGCCTCATATTGTATGATTCCATTTATATGAAGTATCTGGAATAAGCAAATCTATTAGACACAGAAAATAGATGAGTGGTTGCCTAGGACTGAGGGGGTTTGGGAGGAAATGGAGATGCACTGCTACTGAGTACAGAGTTTCTTTTGGGGAGGTGATAAAGATGTTCTGAAGTTGTGGTGGTTGTACAATTCTGAATACACTAAACACCATTAAATTATACACTTTAAGTGGGTCAATTGTATATAATGCCTCAATTATGTGTAATAAAACAATCAATTAGCTCAGAAATCTGTTTGGGCAGGGCTCAGCAGGGAAGCCTCATCTGTTCCTCAGTGTCTGAGAGGTGATCTAGCAGCTGGAGGCTAGGATCGCCTGAGGACATTCACTCAAGCATGTGGCAGTTGCTGCTGAGGGCCAGCTGGAATATCAGCTGCTGTCATCAACCAGCACACATGTGGCCTCTGCATGTGGCTTCCAAGGGAGCACATCCCAAGCAAACTAGGCAGAAGCCGTGTGGCCTTTTATATCCCGCAGAAGTTCATAGCATCACTCTTGTGTCCTGGGAGGAGAGTCAAAGATACCTGTGCAAAGAGCATGTGAGAGAATGGAGTGGTCATCTTTGGAAAATAAACTCTAACATTTGGAGCAACAGTCCTGAGTAGTGGAGAAGGTGAGTCCTGGGACCTGCCAGGAGACTGTGTCTTGAGTATCCCCATCAGAGATGCATTTTCTGCTATGTCACATCCCATCTGTTAGACTCTTCCGGCTACTGTATTTCAAACATAGTTGATGGTCTCTTGAATTCAGCTATTGCATATATAAAGAGATTCTTGAAGACACCATGTTGTACACCTTAAATAGATATTTATAATTTTTATATGTTAATTTAAAAATAAATAAGTGAGGCCAGGCGCAGTGGGTCATGACTGTAATCCCAGCACTTTGGGAGGCTGAGGCAGGTGGATCACGAGGTCAGGAGTTCAAGACCAGCCTGGCCAATATGGTGAAACCCCATCTCTACTAAAAATACAAAAATTAGCCAGGCGTGGTGGCATGCGCCTGTAATCCCAGCTATTCAGGAGGCTGAGGCAGAATTGCTTGAACCCGAGAGGCTGAGGTTGCAGTGAGCTGAGACTGCACCACTGCACTCCAGCCTGGGCAACAGAGTAAGACTCCGTCTCAAAAAAAGTAATAAATAAGTGAGAGAGAACAAAAAAGTCTACAGAAGCAGAACTGGATCTGGAGAGCATCTCGTATATTTAATCATCCTCAAACTCGGGAAGCTGCTCTGTGCTGTATGAAAGACTGAAGAAGGAGGTGGCATCGATTTTTTATTTTAACATTTTGTCTTCTCTTACTGTTTTTCCTTAGGTGAGAAAAATGTACCCTTTCATGCCTGTGCTTTCTAAATTTTGGGACTGATACAGATCCACAGAGGCCACTCCTAAAATTAAATTATCGTTAGTGCTAAAACTTAATTGACTGTGTATATAACTGTGCAATTGCTGTTACTGATATAACTGTTTGGGGTTCATTCAACAGACTACAGAAGCAAAGTCTTGGATTTAACACACAAACTAATGAGATACTGCTCTATACACGAATTTTAAAAACACTGTCATGCGGTTTAGTGTAGTTAATGTCATGCTTATGTCATATAACATAGCATATTAGAGTTCTCTAGATGGACAGAACAAGATATATGTATATAAGAAAGGGAGTTTATTGGCCGGGTGTGGTGGCTCACGCCTGTAATCCTAGCACTTTGGGAGGCCGAGGCAGGTGTATTACCTGAGGTCAGCAGTTCAAGACCAGCCTGACCAACGTGGTGAAACCCCATCCTACTAAAAAATACAAAAAT